AAATTTGTTCACGAGGATCGAGAGCGATTTCGTGTCGGCAAATTCGAGATGACGTTAGCTGGACAAGCCTTTTTATTGAAAAGTTTCGCACGAGAGGTTGGCTTTCTTGCGTACGCACTGGAAAACTTGGCGCCACCTCCTGCAATTCAAATACTTCTCATTTTACATTTTTATAACCATTGTTCGTTAGACATCATTGCCACATTTCACCACACGAACACTCTCAATCTGCCAATGGAAAGGACGGCTTGGCACTTGTTTGCAAAGCGAATACTTGCGCGAGTTCGCATAAATTGAAAATTAACATTTTCTCCCTTTGCAAGATCTCGCGTCAGTCTTATCTTCTAAAATATTCATGAGCAAGCAAGCTCATCAACAATAACGAATAAAGCAAATCAGGCTGAGCTAAAGTTTCGAAGCAGCTGTTACGAGGACGCGCGAACACACACACCTGCGCTTCACGCTACTCGCTCTTCATCCCAGGAGCGCGACCCAAACTCCGTGTGCGTGTATTGTGTGTGTCGTCTGATCCCTATACTACGATAGTTACGACACGCCACCTGATTTGAGAGTTACATTTGAATAACTTTACATATTAATCAGAAACCTTGTCTGTAGTTTTCTTCTCGCGCAACTTTCCTACATTTCAATTTCAGCCGCAAAAGAATCCAAGTTTCGTCCAATACAAGCAATCAGTGCGAATCGAAAAGCCTGGCAGGTTTACTTCTTGCGCGTAAACTCTGCCCTAAGATCGCTTTGATATTCCAAGTCGCGTTCGCGGTGCAGCAGGCTAGACAGAGTGGGGCGAGAGGGGGAGCAAACACGAGCGATTTCATTTCGCGCGAGAACCGTTTGCTCATCCGAAATCTCGACGTCGACGTCACGTGGCGCTGCATTCTAATTCAGGATTACCCGGTAAAATGCTCTTCGCCAGGAGAGACAGGATATACCTATGACACGTCTACTCCTACACCTCCAACTGTATATACACTCTTCGATACTCGGGGACACACGCCGCACGAGCTCTTAGCCGAGCGTGACGTCATCTCTACGATTTTAAAGCTTTGCGTCGGTGCTGCTGTGGATAGCTGGCCTACATATTCCATCATGTAGGAAAATACAACTCGTCGTTGTAACCGACAATCATGGTGTATGCTAACGATGAACAAGAGATTTTATTTACCTTCTATCGCAACACTGACTATTCATTTGTCATAGATCTTTTCTTACAATGAAGATAAATCTTCACTCGTCATCAAAGATCCTTGAATAAATAACACAGGTATAGATAAGTTACCTATCAATTCACTATGATTTTGACTGATTCAAATGTTTATCAGAAATTTATTTACAGACTTGAATCGCACGTCAGTTTTCTACAACGGTGAAAAAAATCGATCAAACAACACACGCACATTTTTCGATGAGACAGTCGTCGCGTCGCAGAGACTCGGCAATTATCTAAAATACATATAGCTAGAAAGGCAATACATATGGAGATCAGCGTCCACCCCTACAGCAAAATGCCATATATGTATGTGACGCATATACTGGATGCCGAAAAGAGACGGCGTAGCAAGGGGCTAGATTACAGGAAACCGGATACAAAAAAAGTTTGGGATCAATACGCAGCCATTAAAGTACATATAAAGTCGCCGGTTGCTGTATTGAAAATAAATGAAGCTGACAATTAAGAAACCGGGAGCTTGCTATGAATGGCATAATATACGTAAATTGTAACGAAGAGTCATATGACGACGATTGTTATTAAGGATTGTTAAAAAGTATGTAAGTGATGAGAGGAGGAGAGCTTCTAGCGTCAGGTGCACACCTACATATATGCGGAGACACAGGGAAACTGAGGCAAAATTACGAGTACTAACAACTCAGCAGTTTCCAAAGTCTCAAGAGACGGAAGAGAGAGAGAGAGAGAGAGAGAGAGAGAGAGAGAGAGAGAGAGAGAGAGAGAGAAGCACTTTTAACGATCGCCTCTCGTCTTTTCATCAGAGTTCTACATTCTCGTAAACAAACAATAGCACCTTCGCGCCGTGCTTCCGCTAATAGGATTTACGCTCGGCAGCGTTAATTATTCCCGCCAATTCCAATTTACCCACGTATTGTGTGCTCTTAATGCGCTTTTCGAAAGAAGAAAGGAAAAAGCCTTAGAAATGAGGGATGACTAACAATCCCGCCACAACAAAAAAAGACGCGAACAAGTGTTCAAAACTTTGTTTCCCCGCGGATCCATCTCTTGTGTGAGTCATCTGCTAAATTAATCGGATTTAAGTATTATATATTTGGGTCTCAATATTGCTTTTGGCGAAAAAACTACACGGGTGTACATCATCAGGACATCCTAATAGCCGAATTAATTAGCGTGTTAAATGTGCAAACGAGAGAGAGAGAGAGAGACCCGCGGTTTTCATCTAATTACGTATTTGACCAAAATGACAGAAAGAAGGAGAAATCTTGACTCGCTCATTCTGTCTGCTCCATTGTCTTCTCTCTTTTTCCGCTCTCTACACTAATGTAACGCGTGCAAGCTCACCTACAGGCATAGAATGTAGGCCAATGCTTCAGACATTGTCTTTCTCGCGTGTTTCTAATGAAATTTTAGGACAAAATGTTTTTCAATTTGAAATTGTTAAACCTTAACCAGTCTTTTATTTTCCCTTGCGACTTTTCTCACGCTTGGGATTGTGTGTCGATGGATTTGAAAAGATTTTTTCTAACCAAGACAAGTAAAGTTTTGTTCAATGGGAAACTTTGTATATCTAGAGTTTTTTCGAAGACGCTCACTAATTAACAATGAAAATGCAGAATGATAAACATTTTCTTTTTAAATGTGAAAATGTACTTCGGCGAAATATTTTGCAATATAATTCTTGGAATTGAAGTCCAATTAAAACTCGAATACCTGTCTTTAGAAAATAATATGAATTTAATGTATAAGACTCGATCTGTCACATTATTTATTCATCATAAAGTGAATATCTGGGCAAGTTTGATATGCATTATGAAATAATATTAACAAAGGCAGAGGAAAGATCTAATTGCAGTTGCCGACAAAACTAGAAACAGCGAGAAACGCGTTTCTCTGACGCACGCACACACACACACACACACACACACACACACACACACACACACACACACACACACACACACACACACACACACACACACACATGAACACTCGCAACTACTCTATCAAATACCCAGCCCTGCTTTTACTTTCAGCAAGCCAGGCAGCTTTGTATATATGTAAAACAAACTAAATAAGGGCTCGCCACTGATGCTACTGCCGCTTGACTGACTTCAAACGGAATGCAGGATATCGGACTTGAAACCACCATCCCGCGCCCTGTCGACGATTTTGCATTCAACGCTCCCGCAAACTTGCAGACGAATCAAACGTTCAGACATTTCATAAAATCTGTTGGTTATCCTACTGCCACGTGAGCCTTTTCTTAGACTTTCATTTTGTTGACAATTATTCGATAATTATTTGGTGCTTCATTTTAAAAGTGACCGGCAATAATTCATAAATAAATGTAGATCATTTATCACTTAGCTAACTCTTTATGTAATTTAATAACTGGCTGTTATCACAGAACGTTCTAATCATTGACCATGTGTAACTAAACGTCTCGGCTTTAAAATTTATGAACAAACGAGATTTGAAGTATATAAAAATTACATAATAGCAAAATAATTGAATGCATTTGTCAAAAATAGAGACCGGATCAAATATTTCTTTCAACGGGATATATACGATTTTATACTCTACAAAATAATAATCTTGTTTGATTTTCTTAATTGATTTAAGATTGTTTCACTGGATTTATTCTGATGATTCTCAATCTACTCTTTCAATTGATAATTCTGATGGAGTTGAGGAAAACTGAATTTTAAAAAGCTATGAGCGGACGTGGTAAATGGAATTTTGAATGAACCAATACATTATATTCCTTGCAAGCTTTCAACCCGGAGAGAAACTTATTCCGGGAAATAAAATTATCATGCATCACTTGATTCATGATATATATCCAAAACTTTATTTCCAATCGTTCTCTCAGTTTTAAATTGAGTTTCTGTAGACGTTCAACATGTCGAACATTAAGAATTTTGAAATTGTCATTTCGCAATTTCCAAATTAACAATTCAGAACATCTCGCCATTTCCATCCACATAATCAATGAACATAGCTAAACGACCAATTCAACAGTCGCCTTATTTAGCCGTATAGATCCCCCCCCCCCCGCCCGCCACCGCACATACTGTCATCCTTTCATACCGTAAAAAGCTGTAATCGTTTCTCTTTATCCGTCGTTAAAACTCGTCCCATTTTAACACTGTAAACTGATGAATCAGCTACTTTTCAAGTATCCGCAAAAGCCAAAAACCGCCACAAACATGCATTTCGTTATTGGCAAACCTGCCGCTGAATTGCAATTCATTCTCGTGCAATCACGTACATGCTCGCAAGTTCTCTCTTTTTTCGACAGAGTCAGAAATATTATTATGCAGCAGACGGAATAATTTATGCGAGCGCTCGCGCTTTGTTTTCTACGACGTGATGCTGAAAGTTCACTGCAGTGCAACAATTTTTCGGATGGAAACTCTTCACTCTTTCAATTATTGTTGATTACAATGAATTCCCTTGTTTGACTGGTCAGTCGTTAATTTGAATATTGAAAATCAACATCATTATTCGAGTTTATTTCAATTATAAACCGTGGAAAAATACTTTGAAGTGGTTTTCACTGGTAACTAATTATAATCGTAGCTTGGAAGTTTTATTGGAAAAAGTGACGTAATATTATAACAAGATCTAGTGGCCACTAAAGTTATTCCAGTGTAGCTGTGTAGAACGCTCGGCAAAGCAAGATTACATACACATAAGATTGTACACAAAGTGGTGCAGAAATTTCGAAATTTAGTTGTACCAAAATTGAATAAACAACTAGTATAACAAACTTGAAGATTCGAATGCTTACCAGAACCGCAGTATAAACGAGTTTTCACCCTTGCTCTAGTGTCCCGGTCTTTCTAAGTCTTCCGTGTCTCTCGATCTGCCAATGATTAACAACAATAACAACAATAACACACAAGAGATATTTGCTAAGGAAACAAAAGGGAAAAAAAAACTCTGACAGACTCTCAACACTTCACTGGAGTTCTTTTAAGTCATTTCCAGCATCAAGTTCACACAACAGTCCTCGACGTGCTTTTATTTTGTTTCTCTATTGCGCCAGTCAGCGTCAGCCATTGACGACCATGTCAGGGAGGATGTAAAAAAGCACGTTTTAACAATGTCAAATGTATGCGTGTATGTATATATTGAGACGAACGCCAATGAAACGAAGCGAAGTACCGTGCGCGAGGACTGTTCGGGTCGAACTGGCCAGCGCAGAAGCCACGGGGCACAACCTAACCTCACCCCTGCAACGAGTCGCACACACCTATACATCCCCAGCGCAAGCGCAAGCGCAAGGCCGCCTGAATTATTCCGCGACGCAAATCTTTAACAGCGACAGATTTCATTATGCAAGCCGGCGTGCTTGTTTTTTTCTGTAGGAGAAAGAAAGAGATCGATTGACCGTTCTCGACTCGGGATCGCCGTAAAAAGATCGTCTTTTTTCAATTAAAGCTCTTTTGATCGCCAATCGAACCTTTTGATCCCCTTTGTTCCATTCCAATATCGTTATTGCTGCATGGTAAAATGCTCTTTCACAACTAAGCAATTTTACATTTTTGGCTTTGTCCTGCACAATAATTACAATGCAACTAGCTCGTAAACAATTAACTAGATCTATCTATATTTTTTGCTACACTACAAACATGTACTCATTGATGATCATTCAATATTATTTTTTGTCTCTGATCATTCAATATTATTTTTTCCATTATGTACACCTGTGACGAAAGCAAGAAAAAATCTTAAAAGCTTTTCCGGTAAAATATATGGATTTTATTTTTACTCGTGCCAGAACGGCTGGACTAATTTGAACAAACATAGCAGCCCGAAGGCTGGCTTGTATTGCGGGGAGACGAGGTATAACTCGGTTTTTATCGGCAATTTGGAAATTGAGCCTGCGGCTCTGCGGGTTCTATTTACGTTGTGCCATCAGTAGAAAAAAATGTGACGAATATGTTAGCCGATGTGCAACGAGCAATTCCTTACTAATAATTAGCGAGCAATGTGTGCTTTAAAAAATCGAGTACACAGCTTTTTAATATTCTCGTAAAAATAATTAGATGATTTGTATTTGATGAATTTAAAAATTCGTTTATTTCTCCTTTAGCGTTTCCGATTCATAAAAATAATCGTATATTCGGGTTTTCTCGTATTATTAATTGTTTTAAAATTCAACTCGAAGCTTAACGATAATAATATGTTCGCGTGAAAATCCAAAATAGTACTCTGAAACATTTGTTTATCAAAAATATATGATTCATCGGAAATAAAGCTGACAAAAACCAGTGAAATGAAAACAATAGAAAGTCACATTCTGTCAACGCAGAAAGTTTAAAAATAAACACGCGCCCGCACACATGCACCATCCATCTACAGATCTCGAAGCATGACAAATAAACGCGTAAAAGCACATGTCGATATCAGACAGGTGCAACAACGATATCTGAGTTCTCGACGCTATAACGAACGTACAAATGTCCGACTAATGTTCGTCTCCACGTGGAATATTTGGCATTCAGCGCAGCATACGAAGCCTATTATCCCACGCTCGCACTGACGTCGAGTGGATCAGCAGTGCAGCGCAGTCGAGGCTTTGTTGTCGGAACAATCGAGCCATTCCGTATCGAGACTCACGCTACTGCGAGTCGAGGGCTTATGACCTACATAACAATACTGACATGAGCCGGCGAAGACTTTCTGTTCTCCTTTATCAATCGTTAATGATATTCCCGTTCGTTTACGACGAGATTGCCTGTGCTTGATGGACAGACTAAATGATCGACGACTAAACGACAGAGAGCACCGAGGCATTAATTCAGTTGGCGCGCTGGCGCGTTGGCGCGTTACGCTACGCGCAGACACGCCTACACACCTAAGCTTTCCATTTTTTGTGGCAGTGGTTAAGCGCGCGACCATCAATTACACCTCAAATTGCGTAGAAAAAATGTGCCGCTAACGTGGTATATAATGGGATAGAAAACCGGGCGTTCAAATCGATTTTCCCTTGCGCTGTGGGCACAGGCATCGTAATATAGTGCAGATAAGAAACGGGATGAAAAAGGGTGAGAGAGGCGTGGATCCCCGGATACGCTGACTAGCAAGAGGAAAATAACGAGCAGAAAGTACGTGGTTTGCGCGCGGGTATTGATCACTGCTGCTCCCGTTTGCCACCAAAATAATTGATGATCGCCCTCGACTGGATCAATGTCCACGCGAGGACTGCCTTTCATTGAGATTCATCTGCAACCACGATTATTTTGGCATATCACTTACAATTTCCCACGCAAACAGTCCATATGTCAGTCGATGCACCGAAAGAGCAATCAATCGCTCGTTTGCCATAGATCTCAACTGCGCTAGTCATGGTTCTCTTAAAAATGTAAAATTCAATAGCATGTAGAAGCAACGCACAGCGCATAAGCGTAGACAATTGGGGGACCTTACACGACACCCGATCCCTAGCCGTCAACGTCGACTGGCTCCTTGGTGCGTTGTTGTCTCCCCCCTAGTTTCCTTCGGCGTCCTATTAATTGCTGTTTCACGCCGCTGCTCCACTTCCGAGTTGTCTGCTCGTAGCTCGTATAACATTCTGCGGTGTTGTATATCGATCATTACTGCTTTGATATTGCAGCACCTGTCTTTGTGCGTTCGACATCTCGAATTCTAGCCTCAATAAAATTGAGCTTTAAAGGAAGAAAATAGCAATTTGTTGTAGCGTTCGAGAGTGCGCGCCGCTTTTTCGCTGAATTTTCTCAGGATTGCGCTCTGATCTTTATTGAGATTTATCACCTCGCAAGTTAACATCACACTTTTTTTTCTTTTAACGAGATTACCTTTGCTTTTTCTTCTCTGTTCTTTATACTTTTCTTTCCATCCAAGACTAATCATATTGTTTAACGATAATCTACTATTAAAACTTTAATTGAGTGGACAAAAGGACTCAAGACAAAGATTTTTCTATCGTACGATTTTTTTGTCGTGCTAGTATTTGTACTCGAGCTAATTAACTATATCTGCACGAAGAACGAGGACGAGGAGTGTCAGACCTATTTGACCCGTGGTTGATATGTACTGCTGCGTGTCGGTAAGCCAGGCCTCTCTGTTGCTCTGATCGGAGAAAGGGGAAATTGCTTCTCGGTGCCTACAATTTCTCTTGTACCCATCCAATCGATAAAATACGCAAACCATAACTTCGTCAACTTTCCTCAGAGATTCTACGTTTAATCTGTTGATGATATCTAAAAGCATTTTTCACAGCACAACAATTATTTTCGATGCGCCGTTATTTTCATTGATTCGCAAGCAATCCAAGTTGCATAGTGTTTCAATATATTCATTAGCGCGACCAATTGGACAGCTATTAAATTACCGATTTGTTCCAATTGTATATGAAAAGTATATCGTTACATGGACAATTTTAATTCGCAATGACACTTCGATCCTTCTTCAAGCTTCTGGATGATATTTATCTGAATAATATAGAGAAAGGCATATTGGCATATTCAGCTAGTTGATCGTTTCGTTAATTTAAATTTCGTTTAGTTAGTATCGTCAATCAACTCTTTTTTTATATTCAGTAATATTCAGTTTTATGCTTGAATGATATCAAAATTATTATAGGTGAAATAAAAAAAAATCTGAAATACAGTACATACATAAAAACAAGTCTGTGCTTAGAAAGGCTTAATATATACGTAGATATTAATTCGTAAATAAAAATTCAATTATATTGATATTCGGCGATTTAGCAATAATTTCAGATTTAATGACGTAACAGATTTTTATATGTTTAGCTATACATATAGATAATGAGCAGCACACCAAGTTAATTTTTCTTTTTTTCTTCTGCGAACGGATCGAATCATCAGCTGTGTCCGAAATTTTCATTTCCTTTATTCTCTATGGTATTGGTCTATCATTTCAGGCTTTTCGTAAGATGATAGATGATGTTTATTCAAAGCGAAACTTTATAATAAAGATATTTAATAAATTCCTAAAAATTTTTTTTATTTCCAATTATATTTGCAATCTATCTAACAACAATAAGTAAATAGTCTTACTAAAATCTTAATTACACGAGGGTACTTCACCAATGATTACACCAAAAAACTAGTATAAAGTGAAATAACTTTTACGTTACAGAATGGGCTTTATATTTGATTAAATGCTACTTCATATTTCTTGACTTATGATATTCTGGGAGTTGTATGCATTTTATTCTTTGCCAGTCAATATGAATATTCCGTTAGACGGTTGGTATACTTTTTGCGGGTATCTTCTATTTCTTCCTTTATAGTTGATATGTTAACGTCCTGATTATTTCATTTCTAATGAATCATGGTGCATTTGTAATAGATATTAAAGCCACATTCTAGAATATTTCGATGATATCAATGTTCGATATTGCGGCTGTACTCCAGAGTTGAATTCCATATGTCTCTACTGGTTTCATTATACATTTATATATTAGTCATTTATTATCGATCTATAATTTCGATTTTCTATTTAGTATATAGTATCTAGCTAGTAGAATTTTCTCAGTTGTAGACTAAATTATTTAGATTTAGACCAAATGTGATTGATCTCTCCATGTTAGTCGTTAATCTAAATGTATTCCTAGGTTTGTCTTCTGAAGGAATTAATTTATTGCTTTTATGTACTGAAGGACACGTTTCTTTATTTAAAGATTACGTTATCTGAATTGACTCTGTTTCGTTTATCATTATTCTCCATTGTTTCAACCACAATAGAGCTTTATCTAGATATTTCTGTGTATTATAAGAAGCTGTTTGATGGGTTCGAATGTGACGTTAAAATAGCGGTGTTGTCTGTGTAATCGGCGATATTAATATTTTCCATGGTTGAGAGTTGACGGGTGTAAATTAAACATAGCCTAGGATCAAGAACATTTCCTTCGGAAGTGTCGGCGGCTCTGTTGAGGATACAGTTTAGTGGTTTCACTATTTATTTTTTCTGAGAGTAGTTAGAGATTTTTTGGTAGGACTTAATTGTTATGTTTATGCAGTAAGCCTTTGTGCCAGACTTTATCGAATGATTGGGCTAAGTCGAGAAATATCGCATTACAATATCTGCTTTTTTAAAAGAAGTATTCCGAATTTTAATGGTTACTCTGTTCTTTATTCAATTGATTGAGTATAAATCGATGCAAAACATCTCCGTTTATT